CTCGAATAGGGAAGCATCATACAGTCTTTCAGCACAAAGATTGTATACTTTGTATTTATCCTGCAACATCAAAGTGATGAGTACAGAGTAAATGTAGCAATAAAATAGAAGGATAAGTAGATTTTCAGTGACTGGCCCAAATGAAATGAAATAGACTTTACACGAGATCTCGAAGTTATTACCTTATGATGAGTTTCAAAGAATTTAATTACTTCTTCCATGTGGTTTCTGTAGAACCCCTGAATATCAAATTCCATGTAATCAAACTAGGGATAACCACATACCATGATAATTATTTGACTTCAAGCAATGAAGAATAAGGCTTCCTGACCTCAACATAGCCAAAAAGGCCAGAGCTCATGTCACCAGCAGGGAATCCCATGGCAATTATATTCTCTGTTATGTAGGTCAAGTCTAAATCAAATCCTCCTTCCTAGTAAAAGGATACTGCCACGTCAATACATGAAGATAGAAATGTTTTTTCATAAAAATATGTGTGATATGCAAGATGCTTTAAGGTGTGCAAGAAAACTTCTCACAAGAATCAAAATGATAAAGAAAGAAAAAAAAATATTTGTAGCACAGATCAAGATGCATACCAGCTCCCACCGACAAAGTTCTATCCCTAGAGGATTCAATGGTACCATGAACATGGAAGGTAAGCAAGTCCTTTTAATTTCAATGAACATATCTTTTTTTCTTGAAATAGTCAATGAACATATCTTACTGTCTTGCTGCTTTAATGGAAGTGATCACCGTATTCCAGGTAACCCATCGTGTTGGCACTAGAATATTGTTATATTTTTAATAGTACAGACCATTTGAATTAAGAGTAACAATTCTTCTTACTACCTATCATCCACCTCGAGGACAACATCACACTGTCAATAGTTCAGACGAAGGCATATAACAACATTGATGATCCCTACAATTGGAGACCAAGAAAGATGTGATGCATCACAGAGTCATAAACGAATGGAGTTAGTGGATCCTAATTCTTGAATCTTGCATAGATATGCATTATCCTATTACAGTGCTGGCAGTGTTTTAACTTTTAACTACAAGCTACATAAAGATGCCTTGCAAATAAAAGGAAGCTCAACATGATTCCTTCTAAGTATAACAAAGTAGAAAATCGTCTACAATGGAATTACACATTCTTTAAGAAGCAACTCATGCCCATGCCAATGCAGGCTGCATCGAACTTCCAACAACCCAAAGAGCAGTGTATCAACTCTCACATAGTGAGGCATGAAATAAGTATTTAAAACATTTTGTTCGAACTCCGTAATACAGGTGCAAGTTGATTAAGATAAGAGGATGAAAATACAAGAAACTGAAACGTTTAAACCAGTTTGGTAGAACTGAACCAATCAACTTATTAAGAATACAAACCACGATGGTTCTTCATAGTAGGAAGAGAGGCAAACAACAACATTAAAGTGTTTCAATAATCGATGATCTCCTCATATGGAAAAAATATAAGAATGAGTAGAGAATACTTGAGCCATCAACATATTTTTTTTACCTGATATCTTCTCTTATTCTGGGATACAACATGTCGAGCTTTAACCTGTACAGCCTTCACTGCATTCTTTGAAGAGTCAACCAATCCTTTGGTGAATGTTCCAAATAAACTGGTTGGCGATGTTGATGTTCCATCAACATGTTCGTCTGTAGGAGATGTAGGAGATTTAGGGGACAGACGCATTCCAAGCCCACCAGTTAAACGGGCAAAGGTTGATTTGGGAGCATTTCCTGATGATTGTTCATCTTGGGACCCAGTGAACGGTTGTGGAATTTTTAAATTTTTGGCCCATGACGAGATGCCTGAAGTAGAGATCTTTGAAGGCGCCTCTTCTGTTGACTGAACTGGTGCAGACTCCACTGCAGTAGACCTTGCTGCACTTGATGTTGTAACAGGTTGTGAATTTGATACATCAGCAGATCCAGAATCCATTATACTGGGCCAAATTTCTTCACTGCAATGACAGAATATCAGTAAACATGGACTGGAATATCTCACAGCTTAAGCGGGGTTCATCAAGAAGCTGCATAGAAAAAATTCCCATGTTGATACACATTACATGATACAAACATTTATGAATGTGCACATTTTTTAGTGAATCAATATACATTTATCAAACGCCATTGAGGCCTTACATTTTCATAAGAATATATATTACATTGAACATTCAAAAAATCAAGCCAGCTATCGCAACACACTGCATTCTTTCCTACACCAATACATCTATGCGTATCAGGAACATATATCTGTGCTCATGCGGCATGCCCATCTCCACATGTGCTAGTGTGTGGTTGGTGGTATGTACGCCTGCATATACTAGCACAGTGGAAATCTACAATGATAAAGATTAAGGTTGGAAATTGAGTTGATCTCATCAGCAATCTAGTAATTCACTTAACACAGTAATAAGTCATCTTAGATGATAACTCAAAAATTTCACTCTATTTATCCTCTCCATTGAAAAGAAAAACTTTGTACTTCGCACGAACTTACATTATTTTTTATGTTCAGTAATAAGATTGTAATACTCAACTGTCCCAAGGAAAATTAAAAAATCTGAAATGACTATCTTCACAGAATTTTACTTTGCATGCATATTTCTCATTACTTTTACTCTATTCCTTCTCTTCCTTTCTTTTTTTTTGTTAACCGAGAATTCCCCAAGGGCCAAACTATTCCTTTATCCCTGCATTCTCAAAATCTGGATAATTCCATGTAACCCTGATTTATTTACATCTGATAAACTTAATATCTTTGTCAAGCAAATGAAATCTTCTCTCGTGGGCACTCTTTCCCTAAATCACCACTCAAGTTCCAGGCCCAACAATCCATTCCCCTTCCATCATATACCTCAAATTCATGTTAAACGCAGAGTTCCCTGACCACACATGAACAAAGACGCATTGCTCAATAAACCCCTTGCTGTGCAATTATACAAGTGTTTAGGTCAGTGATCTTTGACAGCGTGATTGTCCGACAATGGGCCATTCAAGAAAACCTTTCTCTTAGTGCTAAGGTATATAAATAAGCAAACAAATCGTTTTGCCTTTTTCACATACCTCAGACTAATTCTACGGGATACCCACCACCTCCTTCCCACCAGTAAACAGGTAACTCTGGGAAGAATCACCTAGTGTTTTTGTCTTGAACCTAAGGCCTCATGCTCTCAACCACTTCATTGACGTAAATGAGAATTATCTATACAATTAGTACCAGAACTACTTCATTGCCATAAAGGGAAATAAACAGTGATCTGGAAACTACTATTAAGTCAACTAGCGAAAATTCCAAAATTAACTTTCATCCATCAATTTGGACAAACTAATTCACCGATCCGCAATATTCAACGAATTGAAAAGTGCTGAGTAACAAATTAAACATTCAATAACGCACATGTATATGCTTAACTCAAAACAGACGGCAGCAAGGAGAAGTGGAACAGCTTGGAATCAGAGCCAACAGCGACGGCGGTGTGTGACTGGAGAAGGTTTTCGACGGTGTCGTATTTTTATCACCAACTTGTCTGACAGCGAAACTAAATAGTTAAGAATCGGAGGCAACGGCGGCGGTGAGTTTAGAACGGCGGCGGTTTGAGTCTCCGACTTGTATGCTTATTTGTCTCTCTCTTTTTCAGATCGAAACAAATCCAATGAACGTTGCAATATTTATCCAGAGATCCTTATACTTTCAGTTATTTTCTTTTCTCCGTCATTACGTCTCTGAAATTTGGCATTTCTTTCCCAAATCTTACTCTTCACTTCACTACGGATAATATTATCCTTTTTTTATCACTAAAAATAAATAAATCTTTGAGTCTATGTTGCAGTGAAATTTTATTGGTTATAATGTGGTACTTATGTTGCATTTAATAACTTTTCTTAATAAAAAAAATATTTTTGACTCAATAATTTGATGAAAAAATAGTTATTTTAAATTGAAATATAGTTTAAGGGTAAATTATGAACTATTTTCGGATAGTTTAAAATATTTTTGACCATTTTTTATTAAAAAAAATAAATTAAAAGGGATATTTCTAAAAGAATTATCATAGAAGAATAACAACAACCTATATTCGAAACAATAATCATGAAAACACTATTGATGTTTCTCTAACGTGGGTAGAGAAAAGATTTAGTAAAAACAAATACGTAGTTATCAAAGACATATTTAGAGGGATTTATGTGGTTCACGTGAACCCATAATTAAATTAAATATATATGTTAAAAATTCAAAACTAATAGATAATATATATTGCACCTATAATTTTTAAAATTTAACGATTTAGTGTTAAAAATGTAAAAATCAAATAAAAAATTTGTATCTTAAATATATTTTTTTACGTAATATTGTAGCCTTCCTTGTGAGATCTTAGATATGCCTCTAGTTATACGTGCTAATTGCTACTAATTGTAGTTATTATAAAGCTTATCTACTTAACATGATAAAAATTTAATTAAATTAAATTAATAATATAGTTTCTTTATAACAAGTACTTAACTTTATAAGTAATGAAAGATAATTTAACATTCTTAACAAACGGAGCACATAGCTTCTTTGGAAAGCACATTAAATCTTTAATCAATCTAAATGTGTTTTTCCCCCCTTTAAGCTAGGTAGATAACCCCATATTAAAAAGTTATAGAATTAGAAAATCTAGTACTACTTAAAATGTAAAAGAAAAGCGAAGAAGAGGAACAAATAAACAGAAAGAATGATTAATTAGGTTAACATTGTTAATGTTTATTAACCTAGTAAATATTTTTATAAGTTAAAGAAAATAAAGTTGGGAGCCAATCCCTTCCTGTTCCCCAGTATTATTTTTTTCTTTTTTCTAAAATATAGTTTTTAAAGCACGAAATACAGCTTACATTTTAAAAGAATAATGTTAAGGTCAATTGATGATTTAACGTGCATAACCAAATAACATGCTGTTCAAAATGGGAATAAATTTAGACTGATTGAAGATGTAATATGCAATAGAACATTATGGTACTTAGAATTTTCATTAAGAATTTAAAAGATGAATATTTACACTGGGTAAAAGTTGTCTCAAATAATAAAAAAAGGAACAATACTAACTAAACCAATCAACAACAGAAACAGCCCATTGGCCACAGATTGAACAGCTCTTCTAAACATGATGATCCTTTTGCCCTTTTCACCTGCAGTTGCTAAATTACTCAATCATAACTCACTTTCCTGTTAGATTTCATCCCTGACCAGTTTACTCTAGCAGTAGCAGGACCTCTCTTCAATGCTTTTACACTCAATGGACTATCCTTGCTCTGCCAAACAAATAAATTTAATGAAATCAGGTTAGAGTTATTGCAGAAACTGAATAACAAAATGTTGCATAATTTCTTGTCAACGACTCAATGAAATTGTCTAGGTAAGCGCAAGCTAGCCTGAACAGTAAAAGCTTACTCTTTCTGTTTCAAATTACTTGTAGTTTTTTGCTTCTCAAGATTCAAACTATGTGAACTTCAACTATTGTTTGAAAATGTATGTTTTCATCATACTTGACTTTTGAAACGAAAAAACAAACGTCTATTTTGGGGAGGAAAATCTTACCATTTGACAAGTGCCTGAATTAACATCACAGACAGGATAATCATGTGGACAGCAGCTGTTGTTGTCATCACAGCAGGTAGCAGACTCATAAGGACAACATCCCCAGCCAAAACAGTAGTCGCCATACTTATAAATGCAGCAGCAAGTAGTGCCCGCGGTGCAGCTATAGTACTCATCGCAAACGGTTGATGGTGCTACAGGACTAGGAGGAGATGGACCGGGATTAGGAGGATTTGCCCCATTCTTAAGAGGGTAAGAGGGCTCCATTGCAATTCCACACTTTCCACTAGTGCTATTAGCTAAATTTCGCTCGAGCCTAATGTATCCACTTTCTCCCCAGTTAGGACCCCATGAATTCCTCACAATCCAGTAATCTGAACCATTATCTGTTCCATAGCCAATTGCAACTACACCATGGTCTAGTTGTGTACCGCAGTATCCAGTGAAAACACCCTTCAAGATTTGAAAAGGAAAAGAAAGTGTAAATGAGTATGGTAGTTTTTTTTAGTAGAAAAAACAAGGCATTAGAAGCCGTAATTGCAGATTAGGCATACTATAATTGCAGGAACTAATTCAAAACTTAAAGAGTCAATGGGTTTAGGCACAGACAATACTAGTCTTAGAATTGTTCTCATACCGAAGAGTAGTGCTGGAAAGCTCTGCCACCAGCTTCAATAGCAACACTAACTGGTTGATTTGACAATGCCTTCATCAATGATTTCTCATCATTTATGGGAACATCTTCATATCCGTCGATGGAGACAACCCGAGCATTTTTCTGAATGACAACAATTTTGTTAGCAGACCATCAATTACTTGGTACATAAAACTTATACATGAGTAATATTTTGGATGTTCTCTAGAAAGTATGGTCTAACATACCCTGTTTGAATCACAAGTACCATCTTTAGCACGGTAAGGGTAGTCAGCCTCAGTGTCAATGCCGCCATTGTTTTTAATGAATTCGAAGGCGTAGTCCATGAGACCGCCATTACAACCCTGGTTATAGCTCTTGTCACAATCAACAAGCTCTTGTTCAGAGAGGGAAATTAATTCACCGGTTACAATTTGATTTATTCCTTCAACAGCACCAACCGTAGAGAATGCCCAGCAACTCCCTTCAAATTAACAATATACAACTTCAGTCCTAACGACGATATCTCACATGCTCAATCAACATATATATGAGTTTCGCCATAATCAAAGAAAGATTATACAGCAATCAACTTGAAGACTCGACAAAATAGGTCAAACACAACATACAAATAATAACTTTTGACCTAAATAAGACTCTTGTCAACACTCCATTGAAAGTAATCTTCCTCCAACAGAAAGAAAAAAAAAGAAAAACTCACCACATTGGCCTTGGTCTTTAACAGGGGCAACAGCGCCTTTCTGTCTCCAATCAACGGATTCCGGCAACTTTTCGCCGGCCTTAAAAGCGTAACGTTCGCTTTTAGGGTTCTTCAAAAGCCTCGTCTTTTTATCGAACCGTCCACCTACAAACAGGGCACGGTACTCATCGTTGGTAAGATCAGAAAATCGATTCAACCCAAGTTTATACGGTCTGGTCTCAGCGTTTTGCTCGTCGATGAATCTTAAATTATCTTTAAAAATTTCAAATCTTTTTTCCTTTTCTCCTATGGCATTGTAATTCTTTCCATGCTTAACAATCCAAGATTCATACAATCCCTTAACTTCATCGTCTGTACGATGATTTGTTGCCCCTAAATCTGCATGCTTTTCATCGTAACTGATGATGGACATGTCAAGAGCAGATGAAAGGACAAAAAATGTAAGAAGAAACAAGAACAAAGGCCTGAAATAAGTCATCTTTTTTTTTGTTCTTCTTCTTGTTTGTTGTTTGGGTTATTGGAGAGAATGGTGAGACAAGTCTTTATATAGAGACAGAGTTTATATTTGAGAGGAAGAGAACAACTCAAAATAAGAATATTGTGATTAATGGGTAAAAATGTTTATTAATATTGTGATTAATGGTGGAATGGTAAAGAGAAAATATATGAATTTGAGGATATTTAGGGTGTGTGTCTGTATACATAGAATCCATCTCCGTTAAAATAGGGAAAATTATAAGTTTCATGCTATTCGTGAATTGTGTAAACCTTTCAAATTATGAAAATTTTGACCATTCTTATTCAACAATTATTCCAAAGTTATACTTTTATGATATTTTTCATCTTATTAGTATTTGTTTTGCTTTCAAATTCAAATCAGTTTTACTCGGTTTTGGAGTAGCTTATACTGAAATAGAAAAAACATATGTTAACTGATGATTTACACGTCAATTTGATGAATTATAGGTATAGGATTTAATTGAGAATTACCTCAATAGAATAGGAAGATGAAATAAAAGAAGACAACTTTACCGTTGTTCCCTTTTCTTCTACTGCACGTATTCCTTTCATAGTTGAACTGATTCAACTCACTCTTTTTCCTTTTGTATACTTACTTTTTAAGTTCATATGCACTTTCAGTATGTTATGATCCCTTTTTTTTTCAATAACTTTCAAAATAGACCATTCAATTACTTAACATCTATTAATATGAATTGTCCTGTTTGACACAACTTAATGGAGTACATAACATGATGCCACTAATTAGCGTTTGCAACAATCGTAGAGCTGGTCTATGCATAAGAACTATTGCCTACTGATAAAAATGTAATTTGGTATACATAATTTGGAATTGATGTGATACAATAGTTTTATAGTGGTTTAGTTTCAGCAACATATGTAAAAATTCGCATCAGCTAGAGCTAATTTTTCTGTTCCTCAATTGTTCTAGTAACGAAATCAAACTGCTGTAAGATGATCCACCTTTCTCCACAGCCCCTTTAGCCAATTTTCCTAAGGCAGCTGCACGGCCTCGCATACCCTCAGCTTCCTGACCAACCACCAGTTTTGTTACTGCTCTTTCGATGTCTTTCCTGTTTAGTGGGACTGTGCTATCTGTTCTGTTAGACCAAGCATCAGCACCTACTGGAACTCCAACTTTTAATATCTCTACTAGTAGCTTTTCATTAAAAAAATTGCTCAGCTGATAGCGGTGCCAATTACTCCTTCGAACAATGAGTTCTATCCACAGTGAGTCACAAAACCTCCAATAGCTTCATGATCAAGGATTAGCAACCTGAGGTGCCCATCCTTTTATTATCAAACCTCGTCTGTTCAGCTTTTCCTCAAAACCCTACTGGTATCCACTCATTCTGCTCGTCGTTGATTGTAGTCTGTGTCACCGCCCAGATAAACTGCTGGTTTGATGCTTCGAGAGCTATTGCTATCTCAAGCACTGAGCTGATGAAAACACTGCCATTTGCTGAAACATATGTAAATGACTGATCTTGGTTCCTTGGTATTGAGCCAATTCAAACACTTTTGCTCACAAAAGGAACTGTCTTGCCCTCTTTGTAATTTATCTTCATTGTCTTTATTGCAGAGCGAAACAGGACCAACGTGCCATACTTTTCTTCCTACTACTTCCCTGAAGTGATTTACACAATTTGGTTCCATCTCATAAAAGCTGTTTACAATAGCTCAATAAATAGTCGTTTATGCTCGCATCATATCTTTAACTAAAGCAGTCATTGGGGTTTCTTTTTCATCCTTCAAGTGTTCTGAAAGCTTTTGTCTTGACATCTTTATTTTGTCAGGAAGTCCAGGGATGACAAATTCTTCCATCTCGGATTCAACTTTTAAATGAGGTTTGTGTTCCATCAAACCATGTAAAGCACAAAAAGGGAAAAAACCAGTGCCATTAAAAGCTAGTCTTGGAATTCCCAGCTTGGCTGCAAGCTCAACAGCCCATGAAAATTGAGGGGCTGCTGTTAGACAATCTGGATGGTCTTCCTCAAGGAACCGTTCAATGGGTTTTGAAACAGCGATAGGCCCTTGGTGAAATTCAGATACATCAGTCTACTAGTTGTAGAAGCTATGTTTTCACAGCCCTCCGGCAATCCAGCTTCTTTGCAAGGAAACTTGACTGTATGGATGCTAATATCACTGCCCATCTCTCTGTCTCTTTGGATTGTTTTAGAGAATTTAGACGCGTTGAGAAGAGTCGTGATAATGGGTGCCTTCACTCCATGTCTACCAAATTGCCTGGCTATGTCTACTAGTGGTATCATGTGGCCAGGGGCCATCATAGATAGAAAGTATATGTGAAGTTGATCACTTCATTTATCCATGGTAGCCAAGGAATAGATAAGAAAAACAGCTGATGAACTGAAAAAGAACAGGAAATAAAAGAAAAAAGAAGGTGTTGTATATCTATTCGTCTTTGCTCGTCATGTTTTTATAGATAAACAAGGATTTTTGAAACTTCTGATTTTGCTAACGTCTTCATGGGAACATTACTTTTCTATGGTATGTAAGGTGCCATTACTGACTTTTTGTACTTTGGAAATTCTGATTTGAGTACAAGATAAGTAAATTAGACCTGTTGTTATCATATTTTTATGTCTAGGATTTGTCTCTGAATCGTCAAAAAAAAAAATACGAACATCTAAACTCTCAAGGAAATCAAACTATATAGTATTATATAGCAAAGAAAGTCCGAATTGTCTCGACACATAAATGATGTAACAATACATTGAAAGAAATTCCAATCAGTTGGAGCTGCTCTTCCCATTCCTCAATTCTTCTAGTAAGGAAACCAAGCTATTATCAGATGATCCACCTTTCTCTACAGCCATTTTAGCCGATTTTCCTAAAGCAGCTGCGCGGCCTTGCATCTCTTCTGCTTCCTGACCAACCATCAATTTGGTCACTGCTCTTAATATGTTTTCCCTGTTAATTGGGACTCTGCTATCTGTTCTTTGAGACCAGGCCTGAACACCTACGGGTACTCCAATCTTTAATATCTCTACGAGTAGCTTTTCATTAAAAAACTGTTCAGCTGATAGCGGCCATGTGACCATTGGCACTCCAGCACTTACTCCTTCGAGCAATGAGTTCCATCCACAATGAGTCACGAAACCTCCAGTAGCTTCATGATCAAGGATAAGCACCTGAGGTGCCCATCCTTTTATTATCAAACCTCGTCCGTTCACCTTTTCCTCAAATCCTTCTGGCATCCACTTCTCCTGCTCTTCATTTGTTGTATTTTGCCTCACCACCCATATGAATTGCTGGTCTGATGCTTCGAGAGCAGTTGCTATCTCAAGCAACTGATCTGATGAAAAGATGGACATGCTTCCGAAACATATATAAATGACTGATTTTGGTTCCTTGGTATTGAGCCAATCCAAACACTTTTGCTCAGAAAGGGAACTGTCTTGCCCTCTTTGTGATTTCTCTTCATTGTCTTTATTGCAGAGCGAAACAGGACCAACGTGCCACACTTTTCTCCCTACTACTTCCCTGAAGTGTTGAACATAATTTGGTTCTAGCTCATAAAAGCTGTTTACAATAGCTCCATAACTAGTCGCTTCTGCTCGCATAAAATCTTTAATTATTGGAGTCATTGGGGTTTCTTTTTCATCCACCCAGTGTTGTGAAAGCTTTGATCTTGACATCTTTATTGTGTCAGGAAGGCCAGGGATGACAAACTCTTCTGTCTCGGATTCAACCTTCAAATGAGGTTTGTGTTCCATCAAACAGTTATAAGCACACATAGGAAGTAAACCAGTGCCATTAAAAGCTAGCCTTGGAATTCCCAGCTTGGCTGCAACATCAACAGCCCATGCGAAGAATGTTCCTGCTACTAGACAATCTGGATGATCTTCCTCCATGAACTTTTCAACAGGCTGTTCAAACAAGTACAAGGCTTTGATGAATTTCATTGTCATTTCTGAAGTAGTAGTAGAAGCTAAGTTTTCACATCCCTCTGGCAATCCAGCTTCTTTACAAGGGAATTCAGTTGTCCGGATGCAAATATCACTGCCAACCTCTCTGTCTTTTTGGATTGTTTTGGTGAATTTAGTCGCGTTGAGAGGAGTCGTAACGATTGTTACCTTCACACCATGCCTAGCAAATTGCCTGGCCATGTCTACTAATGGTATCATGTGGCCTGGAGCCATCATTGGCAAAAAGTAGACATGAAGTTGATCAGCTCTTTTATCCATAGTTTTGCTAAGATAAAAGAATGGTGTGTAAGTAGGAGTAGTTGTATTTCTAGCCTTTGCTCATCCTGCTTTTATAGTTAAACCAAGAATTTTTAAAATGCTGTTTCTGGTTTTAGCTAATGTTTCATGCTGTATTTACTTGTCAAAAAGTATGTAAGTCGTCATTGCTGACTGTTTCCTACAATTTAATATTTGTGATGTGCAAGAAAAGTAAAATTTCTATAGTTTCTATGATTTTTTTTATGTCTAGATGGGATTGATCTTTGGCTTCTTCTTTTTTTCTAGTCGTCATGTGCAATTAGTTTCCAATGTTTTCTTCCTTCTGTCTGAAAGAGGTTTTAGAGAGTGATGGGTTTGAATTGTTTATTCAAATTTGGACACATGTATAGTTGACTTGTTGCAAACTTGATTGGATCAAATTAAACATTGTAAAATCAACTCTATCAAACACACCCCATTACACTAACTCGCTCCATATACAAAATCTCGTTAGAAACACTATTATCAAATAGACTTTTATAATGTATGATTCAGATTTAGACAGACTCTAATACAAGTTCTAAAGTATAGACACTAGGAGTGGGGGAAAAAAATCCATGCACCAAACTATTTTAATTTATCATAATTAAGTAAAATTAAAAAATAATAATAATTTTTTAAAAGAATTACATATTCATTTAACTAAAAGTAAGTGTCAATTTTATATGAAGGGTCAAAAAATTTTTTAGCCACTCATCAAGACTAGCCAACAAGAAGTTTATTGTAGTCTCACTGTGTAAGACTTTTGAAGATGACCGTTTTGGACCGGGGATTTGGTTTCGCAGTTCATTTATAATATTTATTTTTCTAGTTTTATTATATATTGGGAAAATTTCATATATGGCAAATCGATGTTATGAAATTACATTTCATGGGTATAGTTTACATAATTATATTTCATGGATATAGTTTAATTTGTTAGGTGACTCTAAATTTATATAAAATATTTTTTTAATTAAATTAATACAAAAAAATTATTTTTCAATAAATGATAACAGTAGCACAAAAGATGCTAACAGTAAATTCACATAATCCCATGATTTAAGTAAAACATTCAAAATCAAATATTTCCCAAAAAAAGAATTCTAAAGCTATAGAAAGACAATACAGTTCAAAATCAAATATTTTTTTAATTTTTTTTAGATAAATCTATGAAATACACATACGTACATAGATATATTTATATATAAATTGATTATATTGTATATATTTGCAAAATTGTATATAATTTTTCTACAATATTTATGTGTAATTGATTTTGTGTTTTAAATTGTATATGACCATCATATATTCTTTTAATTTTTTTGGGTAATTAGTTTATATACAATATTTTATTATGTTCCTATTTTTTCTTTTGTATAATTCTAGGAATTTGTATAATGTACAATAATTTTGGTATATATATTATAGTTATATATGTGCATCTGTGATGTCATGTTTTTGTTTTTTTTTAAAAAAAATATTAATGATTAAACTGATTCTATATAATATTATTTGTTAATTGTATATATAGTAAGCTTGAAATATGTTTCTATATTTGAGGGTGTAACGTTTATATATACAATATTTTATTATGTTCATAATTTTTTTGTATATATCGACGGATTTGTATGATGTATTATAATACTATAGAGTGATTTTAACAAATTTCTTTATACAAAATTAAATAATGGAAAAATAACTTAAATACACAACTATAAGTTTTATATTCTCTAATTTTCCCTTCTTTTCTTAAATATTACATAATTCCTTTTTTTTTTAATTTTAGTTTAAGTTTATAGATACATTACATTCTCTCTCCTATAATACACAATTATCCATTTTAATGCCTATTTTTTCTCCATTAAAACACTCAACCTTTTAAATCAGTTTTTGAATTTTGAATTTTCTCCATTTAAACACTCAACCTTTTAAATAAGTTTTTTTATTTTGAATTATTAATTTTAATTAATTTTAAATAAAAGACCTAATTTTGAAATTCTGAATTTCAAAATTCAAAAAATTTCAAATTTCAAAAATCAGGACAACTCTTAACTTCTCCCTTTTTCTTACTCCATCAAGTTTCACTTCCTTTTTTTCCATAATCATCTTCCTTCTTCTTAACCCAGCAGAATTTATTGGTTTCTTCTATTTATTCTTAATCCATCATCTTTTTCTTCTTAATCTGTAATCGTCTTAACCCAGCATCTTTTTATTATTAATCCATCATCAGTTCGTCTTTTCTTCTCTTTTTTGTTTTTGTTAATTGTTCTATTACATTATAGTAATGGATCCGTTAATTAATAGAAGGATATATGATTCCGACGATGAAAATTGGAAAGAAAATTGGAAAAAGTCTTTGCATAATCCTATGAATCTTCAAAAGGATTCAAACAAAGACTCTGGCGAAACATCAAAATCAAAGGTTGTCAAAATACAACAAAAAAGAAAAAAGAAGCAGCAAACATTGTTGTTAGGCCTACATTGTCTCGGGTTAGTATTTTGGTACTTAAAACTGTTGTTGAAATTAGTAAAAATTTTAAGGAATCTAATGTGCTTGCCGATACATTTGAATAAGTGTGTATAGTGTTTTAGATGGTGAATTGATACATGAATTTGCTGTGCATCATAATATTTTATATGTATCATGAAGTTTTGAAAATTGTTATAATGTATCATTTAATAAGTTTAATAAATGCGTCATCAACTGTGCTTGATGATACATATATAATCAGTGTGTACAGTGTTTAGTCAAATCATTGATACATGTAGTAGATATGTATCACATGTTTTGCATATAGTATGAATTTCTGAAAACTGATATCATGTATCAGTAAGGTATTAGTTGTTTAGTTGATGTACTGATACATTTTTTGAAAATTGTTATAATGTATCATTCACTAAGTTTAATAAATGCGTCATCAACTGTACTTGATGATACATATAGAATCAGTGTGTGTATTGTTTAGTCGATGTTTCTGATACATGTATTAGATATGTATCACATGTTATAATGTTTTGGTTAATTCAATTTCTTTCCTTGATACATCAATATCCAACTCGGCTGCAATTGCTGCTTTGAGATTAGAAAATGAAATTGAATCTCTAACAACGATTCCGTCGATTTTGTAACTTTCATATTGCAATTCGTTCACCCAAATTTCGGAATGTCTCATCAAAATCGAAGTATTCATCTTGAAAAATCCACTGTAACAACAATAAAATTACTATAGTTCGAAATTTAACAGATTGTTC